AGATAGCCTTACATATCCTTGGAGTCTTTTCTTTCCTCCTGACGAGTAAGTCTTGCGGAGTATAATTGAGTACTCAGGGTTTGTTCTACCCTGTTGTAGGTGACAGGAACATATGGAGCTAACACTTGTGTGTGGAAACCTCCTGGTGAGCTCAGCGAGGATTTCCTTAACGTTGCGGACATCGAGTTTATTTAAAAATTCCACCCAAAATGTTTTACAATGGAAAAACTTATAACCTGTTATGATGTATATAACGGATCATCATGTTAATGTTTAACTTGTCAGTAAATGATTTTGTTTCCGCTGAAACTCTGATAACACGGCTGTATTCCGCTATTATAACATAAATATTATACTCTAATGTTGCATGGGAAGTGATGTAAGAAATGACTTAAGAATGTTGTAAACTTTATTCTCTTATTTGTGATCCTGATGGAAAAATGTGGATTTTCGGGTTCTCCATTGTGGTGTGCTCGACGGAACTACGTAATTTAGTGTTCTCCCTTGAGTACTTAGTGTTTAATAGAAGACAAGTACTTCTGGGAGGCATTAGATTAGGCGGTTCTGCCACACGCCGCTCTGGACGTCACCCACGCCGCACCGAACATCGTCCACGCTGCTAGCCGCTTCCCACGCGCATCCCATGTGCAACACCCGATCTATTTTTGGAACATACAGATGCAACAGTTGCAACATATAAAATAAGACAAATGAAACACTTGAAACAAGCGTCTAAAACACTTACGAAAACATCTAAAAACATTTGAAAGCCATTGCAAACGTTTGCAACATCCAGAAGAAACACTCGCAAACATACGCATGAAACACCTGAAAACACTTTAAAACATGCTTGCAATATGCATGTATATGTAACATCCAGATAAAACGCTTGCAATATTCGTCTGAAACAGATGAAATACTTGAAACATACGTGTATAGTCATTACAACATGTGCAACATCCCGATCTACTTTTGCAACATCGATATGCCATACTTGCAACATACCTCTGAAATATACTATTACAATATGTGCTTTCAGCGTAACATCTGCTTGTTGCTCGGACGAATGGAGGCTCATCAACGCGGAGCTCGATGCCGCGGCGTGACGCGGAGGTCGCCGGTGTGGACCTCGGCGGCGGCACGGACCTCGGCAGGGGCAGGGGCATGCGGATGGAGCGTGGACGCAATGGGAGGCACGAGCCCGTCGGGGGCACGTGGCGCGGGCAGGAGGCGGGGGCATGGGCGGGGCCGCGGCGCAAGCGGTGGCGGCGCGGCTGAGGGCAGGATATGTCCTAGAGCAGAGGCGCACAGCGCACTGAGCGAGCAAGTGACGTGGGCGGGGACAGCGCTGGCGAGGCGCAAAGCGAGCGGGCAACTTATACGGTGTCCATCCGTCCGTCCAGACAGACGACCTATAAGAAGCATTACCGAAATTAGTTGGATCAAAATCGTCTGTAAGTTGGCCCATTGTCGAACTGAATTCCAATAACATTTGCCTCTTGTTGAGTAATGGAGTCACTTCGATGTTATTTTGATATACTCTATGCCCTTTTCACTTTCAACTAAATGGTCGGGCTGTTTTGCTAAGGAGATAGCCTCTAGCTGCGAAAAATATGCTGCTCTTGCATTTGGTAGGAGCTTCAATGCTTGACCGAAGTCCATGTTCTACTCCCCACATTCTAAGTTATGAGACGTTTTGGTTTTTTTAGATACTTAGCTTCGGTTATATATTTAGACATACACTACCTCTAGATATACAGTAAAAAATATTTTATAACGTGGAACGGAGGGAGTAGAATCCTTGGTCGGGTAGTGAGGCTGTGCTAGGCTGCTAGAAAATATTATGTATCATCATCAATTTGTGATAATGATTGGTTGGGGTGTGTGAATTGTATAAGTTGCGGTGATTGTTTATATGGGCTTGGTCATTGCTAATTGTGTCGGATCATATTGTGACTAATGAGCTTGGTCTAGTATGTGATGGGCCAACATAAATACATGTGAACGGACTGGGCTACATTGAATATTTCTGGGATGTACACAATAAATATTTGGGCCGAAAAATCATAAAACAAACAATGGGCTGCGATGGAAAAAAAGTTAATCCAAACATTGGGCATGACCTATTTTAAGCCTGCCTAATACACGGCACATTTCATGCCAGACGATGGACGGACCTATGTGGTTGTGCTTCCTCATTAAAAAAATCCCTATGTGGTTGCGCAAAGAGGTCAATTCTTTTTTTTTATGCCTCAACTCTTCCAGCACAAGTTGCAGTATCTGAACTCACGCATCAACTCACACCATCACACGCACACAAACTGATATACACCCACCCTAGTACGCAAGCTAGACCTATACCTACACGAAAAGGCTGCACGTGGCTAAGAGATATCCGAAATCTTACAGACTTCGCACGTGACGGGCACGTCACTCTAACCATTATGACGCATCCACACGTAAGACTGCAAATACACAGAACCTGCAAATTTATTATTGAGAAAAAATCCCATAAGACACGTGAATGTCGATCCGGAGATCAAACTCACGTCCGGCCGCTGGCACACCTGACGAGCGAGCCAACCGAGCTACGCTCGCTCTCGGGTCAATTCCTTTTTAGTTCTGCAGGATCGTCACCGGCATTGGGCTATTCCGCTATTGTGCTATTAGTCTTGGCTTTTACTCCTCTCGTCCTCTTGAGTCCTGCGGTTGGTTTAAGGGAAAAAGGGTATGTTGTCGGAAAAAAAGAGTCTGCTTTTGCCTCTCTGAGTTATCGTCATAGCTCAAGTTTTCTTCTTAACTCTAAAATTGATAAATCGTCTTTCTCAACTCTCAAAACCATTAAAATTATCTTCCTACACTGATTAGAAGTGGTTTTCAAGGTGATTTCATCATGTCAATAACAAAATCTGGTAAATGCCTAATAAGATTTTAAACCATGAAAAAAAAATCTAAGCTTCTAAAAATTTCAAGAAAGATCTTAGAAATATATTGGGAGAGGAGAAACCTTGATGAAATATTTAAATCTCGTGAAAATATGTCTAGAAGGTTAAAAAAAATAAATTTAGGTCTAAAAAACAAGGAAAGATATGCAAAAGTATCTAGAAAATTTCTAAAAAAAATTCTAAACAATGTATAAGTGCATTTTTAAAACTTTCCACAACAAAGAAAATGAGATGCAACTAGATTGAATGCAACTTACACTACCGTTGAATGAATTCATGCCGGTTGCATCCCATTTTTTTGTGGGAAGCTTTTTAAACACAGTAAGGCATTTGATTAGAATGTTTTGGAAATTGCTATATATTTTTTGGATATTTTCTATTTTCCTAGTTTTAAATCTAATTTCTAGAAACTTCTTGATATATTTTCACAAACTGTAAATATTTTATTTGGCTTTCTCATGTCCTAACATATTTTTAGGATCTTTCTAAACTTTTAGAAACTTAGAAATAGTTTTTAGTTTAAAAACCTTATCCGGTGTTTACTAGAATTGTTTAATTAAAAATGATGAAATCACCTTAAAATCACTTCTAACTCAAGGAAAGAGGTCATTTAAATAGTTTTAAGAGTTTCGGAAGACAGTTTGTCTGGTTTTAGAGTCTGTGATAGAAGGTGATAGTCCATGGGGACAAAAGGGTACTTTTTTCTTAGTTTAATAGTCACTCGCATTGGGCTATAGAGCCATTATAGGCTGGCTTTTACTTGTCAATTTGCCGCCCATCACAAATTTTGCCAAACTTTGGTTGTCGTCTTCTTCTGGAAATTGTAGAAACCTTAATGCTAGCATTGGGATCTTGGAGGAGGAAGGCCTGAGACCTTTCGCTGCTGGAGTCAGGTACGGGCGGCGGTTTCCCTACCTTCCACTGTTGGCCTCTTCTAGTTTGTTTGTTAAAAAAATTATTAACTTAGGCTTTTTTTTAATGCAGGATGCAGGAATGAGAAAACACAGAAATAGGAAAATCATAGAAATATGATAGGAATGCATATGCATACTAAGGAATTGAAAACATAGAAATCATATAAGACTATGTGTTTGGCTGGGTGTCTAAGGAATTGTATAAGGAATCATAAGAACAAAATCCGTGTGTTACTTCTTTATTGAACTTAGGTATCCTGTCCTAATAAGAGCATCTCCAAGAGTATTCTAAATTTTCTTCCTAAAAAGTCTATGTTTTCTAACTCCTAAAAATATATTAGGAGAAAAAAAAGAAGGCCATCTCCGATAGTTTTCAATAACTCACTCCTAAAATATAGAAGACAATTTTACATCAGGAATTATATATTATTTCTAAATTATTTTAACCAATTTTATATATTCTTTCTCTCTTGTATATTTGCATCTGGAACCCTTTCATATTATTTATTCTTTTTCCACCCTTAATTGACCGATGAATACGCGTGTATCCGCACGACTGCGACTCCGCGTAAAGTGCTTAAATTTTAGGAGAAAGGATTAGGAGTTGTTGGAAAGATTTTTTCTCATCTTGTCAAAAACCAAGGATTAGGAAGAGAGATAAGGTACTCTTGAAGATGCTCTAAGGCAGCTCTTAATCCCTTGCTTGTCCTTGTTCCTTGTGTACATGATATTTCCCATAAGGTACAAGTGGATGGAATCAAAGGGAAAGGATTTTTTCCTTTAGTTTTCTTGTGCCTTTTCCTACAACCAAAGGAACGAAATCCTTAGAAATTGGAATCCTGACATTTTTCATGTGTTTCTCCTACATTTATAAACACCCCCACCACCCTATTGGCCATTCCAACCTTCAACTTCAAATCATAAGGTTTGTGTCACCTGTAATTTGGAGCAGCAGCAAAGCCAGCAAACTTTTTTCCATTGCATTTATTAAACAGGAAAGCAGCTATGACTATTATTCTTATTCTTGGGTAGTTGAAACAGCCAAAATGAGGAACAAATTGCTACATCAACACACACTTTCTGAGTCAGTTCACATCCTTGCAATACAGGTCGTACAGCAATGAGAACTGAGATGAAAGCCCTACTCGACTATTCCCCGCTTTGCCCCATCCACCGTGTTCTTCAGCAGCATTGCAACCGTCATTGGGCCAACACCTCCTGGAACTGGAGTTAGGTAACCAGCAACCTTGCTCACCGCTGCAAAATCTACATCACCGACGAGTCGGTACCCAGACTTCCGGGTAGGGTCATCAACAGAGTTTGTCCCAACATCGATAACCGCAGCACCTGGCTTGATCCAATCCCCTTTGATCTGACAACCAATAAAACAGCACAGTGACTCAGTGAGCAATGGGCAATGGATGGCTGGATATTGCATCTTAGTGTGAGAATTTGTTGCGGTAGCTACATACCATCATAGCCTGACCAGCTGCTGCAATGACTATGTCAGCTTCGCGCACAATGCTTTCTGGATCCGGGGTCCGTGAGTGCACAATAGATACAGTCGCATCTGCCTTCAGAAGGAGCAGGGATACAGGTAGCCCGACAATGTTGCTGCGACCAACCACAACTGCCCGTTTACCTTTAACAGTGACTCCGCTCCTTGACAAGAGCTCCATGCATCCCTTCAAAGGAAAAACCGGTACTAAGATTTTTTTTGAGGAAAAAACCGATACTAAGATTAGTAACCGCAAGTGAAAACAGCAACACAAATTAAGTGTTCTATTGAAGGGTAGAGAAATGTTGTGCCAATTGTTCCAATACCTTTGGCGTACATGGTACGAACAGTGGCTCTCTGCCTTTCATTGCAAGCTTGCCAATATTGAGAGGATGAAACCCATCGACGTCTTTCTCAATGCTTATCTCACTCAGTATCTTTTCTTCATTGATATGCTTAGGCAGTGGAAGCTGGACGAGGATTCCTGAAAACAAACTGAATTAGCTTTCCATCATAATTTGGAACAAGGATTTGGATTCTACGAAACCATTATGATCAAATAGTCAGTATTTCAAGAAACTAGAACAAAGCATGAATCAAATGAAACAGAACTGCCTCATACAAGCATCAGCAAACTGAACTTGTTGCCATTCTATATATCAATCCAATGGGGAGGTAGGAAAGTTCATTTTAGAACCCCTCTCCATATGGCATGACACTCATCTACATAGCTATGAAAAGACGAACTGATCGACAATGTACAGAGCTCAAAGTTCAAGTTTTGTGGAAACCATTAAGCTTATGGATTCTCATTTACAATCGAAATAATGCAATGTTTGAGCTCTCCATGCGCGAAACTAATATTGTATCTGAACTGGCCAACCAAAGTCTCATGTGTTGTGTAATAGAATGAGAACACAAACTGAAAGCTCAGCAAATCAAAAAAAAGCTCAGCAAATCAAGTTCATGGGAGAATGCTGTAGCATCAGGTAAGAAATAAATCACACCAAAACAAAACATTAGAGTGATATTTAGTTTTGCCATTTGTTCCCTTTACTTATCCGTGCGAATTTCCAACTGGGGGAATACATAAGTTGTGATGCCCAACGTAGTGAGTGACAGCTCCAAAAGATAACACATATATACTGTACAGAGCTGATGCCAGTTTTATAGACTACTCTTTTCAGATCCTGCTGTGTGAAAGCGCTCAAGGATTCCAATTCCAAGCATCGAAAAAGAAATGTACACTCGATGGAGACGGGATCATTCCAAATCCACTGAACTTCAAACCTGGAGGACTGCGGATGCCGGTCTGCAAAGGAATGGTATCACCGCAGCCCATAGGCACCGCGTCATCAGATAACACAAGTGAACATCTAAGCATCTGACCATTCACCTTGTTTTCACAATAACGGAAATCTAACCATCTCCAGAGTCACCAGGCAAGCAGGGAGATTACTACATTCGCAACACAATCAGAGTACCATGCTGGACGCCTGACAACCAACCAAGTGACCAAGAGCAAGCAAGGCGAAGGAAGGGGGAAAAAAAGAAATGGAGGCGGTACCGTGCACGGCGGGGTCGGCGTTGAGGCGATGAACCTCGGCGACGAGCGCGGGCTCGGAGATGTCCTCGGGGAGGTCGACGTCGATGGAGCAGACGCCGACCTCGGCGCACGCCTTGCGCTTCATGTTCACGTACGTCTGCGAGTCCTTCCTGCTCCCCACGATGACCACGGCCAGCCCCGGCACCTGCGAGCGAGAGAGACAGCACGGCGTCGTCAGCACACAGTCCCGAGCGTGGCGCCCCGATCCAAGAACTCCCAGGCGGCGGACAGAGGGGAGCGGGGTGCTTACGATTCCGTGGGCCGAGGAGAGCGCGGCCACATCGACGGCGACCTCGCGGCGGACGTCGGCGGCGATGGCCTTGCCGTCGATGATCTGCGCCATCGCGGTGGCTGGGCGAGGGAGTGGGGGGGACGACTCCGGATGAGACCTGTGGGAATCTTTGGCTTAGTGGGTTAGGTGAGACTGGCCCATTGGGCCTACAGATTTCTTGGGTTGGGCCTGGAGAATAAGGAATTTGTTAGGCCTGTTCTACTACTGTATTATTAGCCTAGAGCCAGTCTTGACTCGTGCGTAGTACAATGATTATTTCGTGTTTTTTAGCCTGGATCAATCGTGCAATTATTTTTTCTTAAAAAAGAGAGTCGTGCAAGCAATTATTTCATGTTTGGTTCCTCGTAGAGATTATTATGCAACATTGTACAGTGTTTAATACACCATTAACTAGTATGTGTATGTCAGATTTGGTCGTATTATTAGCAATACAGATTTGCATAAGTGGATGGCTATAGAAAAATAAAGGGTACGCTGGCGCCAAGACGTCCCGACCTAGACCCACGTCTGGATGCAGCTCCCGTTTGACACACCTGTCGAGCTTCGTCCCGTCCCCCGTGCGTCCGTCACGCCCACGTAATACGAGAGCTGGCTCGTCGCGCCCGCGTCACCATGTCGTGATGGCTCCCACGCGACGACGATGGCGCGAGCAGGCTGTTGATTAGGAGCAGTGCGATGAGGACCCACTCCAGGGCCGCGTACGCCAGCGCGTCCTCTGGTGGAGCGTTGTCGCCAGCTGAAAGGTCCTAATAAGGCTAGAGGAGAGGGTGAATAATCTATTTGAAATTCTACAAATACACTAGAGCAATTTGATTAGTAAAACAAACGGCGAAAAACAACTTGCTCTAGCTCTACAAGGATTGCAAGTCACCTACCCAACAATTCTAGTTGCTACGATCTCTAGTCACATAAGAGACTAAGTCACTACCCACTAAGACCTCTCAACATGGCTACACTAAAGAGCTCCACTAGATGAAACTAAACTACAAGGCAAGCTCTCAATTCTAGCTACACTAAAAAGCTTGCTACAACTAGTTTGCGGGAAAAGTAATAGAGTGAGTAAGGTGATTATACCGCCGCGTCGAGGAATAAACCAATCATAATATGATGACAACCAATTCACCGGAAGAATTCTAATCAAACAAGAGACATAAGATTTTCTCCCAAAGTTCACGTGCTTGTCGGCACGCTAGCCCCCGTTGTGTCGACCAACACTTGGTGGTTGGACGGCTAAGAGGTGTTGCATGCACCTCATCCACACAATTGAACACCGCAAGAACCTACCCACAAGTGAGGTAAATCAATGACACGAACAATCCACTAGAATTACCTTTCGGTTCTCCGCCAGGGAAGGTACAAGACCCCTCACAATCATCGGAGCCAGCTAAGAACAATCACCAACACATGCCAAAGCCCCCCCGCTGCTCCAAGTCGTCTAAGTGGCGGCAACCACCAAGAGTAACAAGAAATCCGCAGCCACAATGATCCCCAAGTGCCACTAGATGCAACCACTCAAGCAAATGCACTTGGAATCACTCACAATCTCACTTTGATGATGAATCAATGATGGAGATGAGTGGAAGGTGTTTGCTTAGGCTCACAAGGATGTCAAGTATGTCAAAGTGCCAAGAGAGTGAGCCCCAAGCTGGTACCTTCCTATTTATAGAGCCCCAAGACTCAAATAGCCGTTGGGCACTCTCGGACTGACCGGAAGCACCCCAGCATTCGGTCACCCTCGACCGTCCATGTGTAGGCGCTTTGAATCTCGTCCACCCATCTTCAATGGTTAAGTCCATGCGCTCGCGAAGGTAAAGAGTGACCGGACGCACAGCACAAGTGACCGGACACACCGCACCACGGCGTCTGATCCGTTCTAGTAAGGTTCCAAAGCGCAAAAATAATGACCCGACGCGTCAGGTCTTGGGCGACCGGACGCACCGGTGAGTCCGGTCGCTCCAGCACTTCTCTTCGGATGCTCTCGGTGCTGATGCAACCGTACGTCAGTCGCGACCTGACGTGGCTCCTGCGCATCCGGTCGCGAGCTATCTCCTACGACCGATCGCCTCCAAGCACTTCGCCACCTCTAGACAGCTGACTAGACACGCCGCCTGCATCAAATCCCAGCGTCCGGTCGCACATAGGCCTTCTCGGCTAAGCGCTGCGCCACCTGGGTCAACTGACTGGATGCATCCAGTCAAGCCGAGACCAGCGTTCGGTCACGTGCAGTGACCCATTTTTCTTTTTCTAAGTCCGCAACCACTTAGCCCGTGCTTCCAACTTGCTAACCACAAAGTGTAGAACTTGTGTGCTCGTGTGTTAGCATTTTTCAAAGCATTTTACAAGGGTTAGAAGTTAGCACACTAGGTCCCTAAATGCAATGCATGAATCATGTCACCTAGTGGCACTCGATAACCGCTTAGCCGAAGATTTTCCCTCTTTATAGTATGCCTATCGATCCTAAACATGATCATACTCTCTATAGTGTCTTGATCTCCAAAACCAAAACCCTAACCAATACCTTTGCCTTGATCTCCTTGGTTTTTGTTTTTCTCTTTCTTCTTTTCCAACTTGAGCACTTGATCATCTTTTGGTTATCACCATCCACCATGATCATCCTCTTGCTCCACCACTTGGAATGGACTATCGTCTCTTGTCTACACAATTAGTACTTACGAATAATCCATATGTTTTATCAATTATCCAAAACCAAACTGGGGATTTCAATCTCTCTCTTTTTGGTAATTGATGACAACCTTTCATAAAGATGTTTAATAAAAATTTCATGGATTCATGTTGCTTGCCCAAGCATATTACCATGTGTAAAGGTTATGGACAAGTTTCATAAACCAAATTTGGTAGTATTAGCTCCCCCTACATATGTGCTAAGAGGTTGCATTTGAAAACTTGCACATATGCATGGATTTGAAGTTTGGGAGAGTAATAGCTACCAAATTATGCTAAGATGTAAAGAATGGACATTTAAAACGTGATATCAATCAGAGTTGCCATTTGAACACCATCCTTTGCACCATATTTTGTTAGATACCACTTGAAAACAAAAGACACTAGATACATCGTGGGATCAATATTAGAAACAAGGCTCTAGCACCACTTGTAAAACCAATTCAAGTGTCTAGCTATCCTATGCATGCTAGTTTTCATTACATCAATCATTTTACTATCTAGCATACACCACACAAGTATGAATATGGAATTAAAAAAAACTTGTGCCATGCAAGCAAACATATGTAATGCACATATAAATGCAACAAACAAGTTTATGAGCTTGCTTCCCCTACTTGTGTGCTTCAAAATTTTAATTGATCCCCGTACTTTGTCATTTTATTTGTTTGCTCCCCCTATCTCTTACTATCTTTGTGAATTACTTCTCCCCTTTGTCATCTATGACCATAAAAGGTGAGCTTAAATTTTAGATAGGTTGGGGTGAAACCATGTGAAGTGAGGATCTTTTACCCATATATGGTTCAATCTAGATCACTTGCAAAAGATTTTTAACTCGGTTTGATCCAATAACAAGCTTCTTCACACCTCCAAATAAGGGTTATCTTATATCATGTTGAGTTAAACACTTATAACTCATTTTCTAGATCAAACACTAGATTCACAAGCCCATAAACATGTCATATGCTACCACTAGATCATTTCAATCAAATAAGCAATAGTGGTACCATACAAGCATCAAATTCATTTGATTTTTATGAATGAGCCTAAGACATATGAGGAATGACTAGATGCACTAAACAAGTCCTTAGCAAAGGATGAATGACATGTCAATCAACTTTATCTTGCTTTGCTCAAAGGAGAGGCATGTCATATAATGGGGTGCATCAACACATATTTGAGAAGTCAAGTATGTTCAATTCATTCATTAGCTTGCAAAACCTCTTCTCATCAAGTGGCTTGGTGAATATATCGGCAAGTTGGTTATCGGTGCCCACACTCTCAATGCAAATGTCCTCTTTTTATTAATGATCTCTAATGAAATAATGGTGAACATCTATGTGCTTTGTTCTTGAATGTTGAATCGGGTTGTTGGTGAGCTTCACGGCACTCTCATTGTCACAAAGCAATGGCATTTGTTTGAATTTGATTCCAAAGTCACTCAAAGTAGCCTTCATCCAAAGTAATTGAGTATAACAACTATCGGCCGAAATGTACTTCACTTCAGCTGTTAAAAGTGCTACACTATTTTGCTTCTTTGATGACTAAGACACAAGTGATCTTCTCAATAATTGATATGTGTCCGATGTGCTCTTTCTCTCAACTTTGCACCCTGTATAATCGGAGTTCGAATATCCAATCAACTCAAATCTTGCTCCTTTGGGATACCACAATCCAACATCTTGTGTATGCTTCAAGTACCTCAATATTCTCTTGTTTGCCTTCAAATGACTCTCTCTTGGTGAGGCTTGGAATCTAGCACACATGCATACGCTAAAAATCACATCCGGCCTTGATGCGGTCACATAGAGTAGGCTTCTAATCATAGACCGATACATCTTTTGATCCACCATGTTGCCACTAACATCACTATCCAAACTTCCATTTATCCCCATTGGTGTACTAATAGCTTTGCTCTCATCCATTCTAAACTTCTTGAGCATGTCTTTGATGTACTTGCCTTGACTCACAAAAGTGTCATTCTTCATTTGCTTGATTTTAAGACCAAGGAAGTAACTAAGCTCTCCAATCATGGACATCTCAAATTTACTTGACATCTTCTTTCCAAACTCCTCACAAAAATCTTGATTGGTTGATCAAAGATAATGTCATCAGCATAGATTTGCAGCACAAACAAGTCATTACCTAGCTTCTTGGTGAAGAGAGTGGTGTCAACCTTACCCATCTTGAATCCCCTAGAGAGTAGGAAATCCCTCAATCTCTCATACCATGCTCTTAGTGCTTGTTTCAATCCGTACAAAGCCTTTCTCAACTTATAGATATGGTTGTGTTTCTTCTCATCTTCAAAACCGAGAGGTTGCTTAACATACACAAGCTCATTGATGTACCAATTAAGAAATGCACTCTTC